TCCCTGTGGCCACACCTTCCCAGAGGTCTGCCTCTCACTCTTGGGGGCTGGAGTTCCCAGGGCACCCCAGAAACCCTTGTGGTGCTGTCTCCCCCCTCCGCCTCCCAGCCTCTCTGGCCTTGACCTTTCTCTGAAGTGGGAGGGCTCTGCCCTGAGACACCCTCCCTTTCTTCCTCTCTGGCTTGGGCAGAAGCAGCTTGGTCCTGTGAGTGAAGCCCCAGTGCCCCGGCACCGGTTCAGGGCTGCTGGGAACCAAGGGTTCTCGGGCGGAGACCAGGCTGCACTGGCTGTCCTGGCACAGCGGGGCTGGGGGTGGTCCCTAAGGACTTGTCGGGGGACAGCCTGAAGCCCACAGCAGTTTGAACCCTTGGGAAACATGGGGAGCCACAGACAGGGGACAAGGAGGAGGAGGATGGCAGTCGCCTCCTAGGCAGGGGAGAGCCCCCTGCACCCCGCAGAGCCTGGCTGTGGGGCCAGTGCTTCGTGGGAGGGCTGGGCAGCTGGGGAATGGGGCATTTCTGGCTCACAAGGGTGGTGGCCCCACCTTCAGAAGGAGGTCTGGCTGCTGAGGCAGCCCTCACTGGTCAGTGGCGCTGCTGTGAAAGCCCTGCGGGACTCCCCGTGTGTAGGAGTTGTTTAGGGGCCTGCACTGCAGTGCCGCAGGTTAAGCCTCCTCCTGCCGTGCCGGCATGAGTCCTGGCTGCTCCACTTCCAATCCAGCTCTCTGCTAATCCACCTGGGGAAGCAGCAGAAGGTGGTCCAAGTGCTTGGGCCCCTGCACCCACGTGGGAGACCTGGAAGAAGCTCCTGGCTCCTGGCATTGGCCTGGCCCAGCCCTGGCCATTGCGGCCATTGTGGATGGAAGGTCTCTCTCTCTCTCTCCTTCTCTCTCTTTTTTAATTGATTTATTTACTTGAAAGGCGGAGTGACAGCTCGCTCTGAGCACAGCTGGGGACCGGCAGGGGCCGCACCTGGGTCCCCAGGCCGCTGGAAGGCAGGCGGTGTGGGTTTGCCATCCAGAGCTGTAGCCGGCCCGAGACAGTGGCTTCCTGCAGTTTCCCGAGTGTGCCCGCCTCATTCCATTCGTCGAGGGCGACTTCATCCTCGCCTGCCTCTTTGGTTCCGCTCATCCTCTGGGTTGAAGCGTCCGACACCCCCTTTAGCTCTGCCCTCGGCCCCACGCCAGGTGAGAACAGCCACCCATGTGTTATGCTAATATCCTACATGCTCAGGGGGCTTTCCAGAATGTTCCGCCACACTCAGCACCACAGTCTGGACGGGAGGCTGAGCTTTGTGGGTGAAGCAAGAATTGGAGGTGACCCCTCCCCGGCCCCTCCTCCTGCCGCCGCCGCAGCCACCGCCATGCAGCCAGCAGACCAGGCCTCCCCACCCCCACAGGGCTGAGCATCTCATCCACCCCACCCCTGCCCCAAGAAGTAGGGGACAGAAGCTCTCTGAAAGAATTCAGTGTCCGGAGAGGAAACAAAGCGAGGCATTGTGGGAAGTGGGCGTGGCGGGAAACGGATGATTGTAACACTTAGATTGCAACTTTGGTATTCTTTTTAATTTTGAATTGCTTGTGTCCTGGACCCTCCCCGAAATCCCTTCTAAATTGAAACACAAGGACTGGCTGGGCAGCTGTCCTGCAGCAGCTGGTTAAACTGCCGCTTGCAACGCTGGTTGGAGTCCCAGCTGCTCCGCTTCTGATCCAGCTCCCTGCTAATGCACCTGTGATGCAGGTACTTGGGCCCCTACCGTCCACGTGGGAGACCCAGATGACGTTCTGGACTCCTGGCTTCAGCCTGGCCCAGCCATTTGGGGAGTGAACCAGTGATGAAAGACCTCTCTGTCTCCACCCTCCTCCATTGCTCTGCCTTCCAAATAAAGAAATAAATACCTCTGTCTTTAAAAAATAACAGAATGGTAAATAGAGAAGAGTTTAGAGAAGAAGTTTAGCGCCGAGCGAATGCTTACCTCCAACCCCCCAATGTCAGAGGTGCCACCCATTCAGCAGGAAGGAGCCTGCGTGGACCGTGGACCATGGACTGTGGACCGTGTCGTGTCCCTCCCTCCCCACAGGCGACACTTGGAAGGCAGGCACAGGCCGTGCCAGGCCCCAGAGGTCAGAGGGCCGGGGGGTTCCGAAGGGCTGCTCTGGGCAGCCGCCGGCCGCCGGGGTCAGTGCAGCGCATCCCAGTCCAGTCGTGCCGGTTCGTGCCACTTCCTAAGAACGGACGTCTGTGCTCCGGGTTCTGCAGCTCGCTCCTTTCATCTGGCGTTGCGCGTCTGAGAACGTGCGTGTGGCTGCCGGTAGAGCTGCTCTGTTCACTTGTGCGGTTTGGCTTCCCCCGCAGTGGCTGCTGGCTTCTTTGATGGGACCCTGGGGGTGTTTCTTTCCTTCCTCCCTCCCTCCCTCCCTCCCTTCCTTCCTTCCTTTATTTTAAAAAAATTCTTATTGATTTATTGGAAACACACACACACACAAATCTCTGTCCCACTGGTTCACTCCCCAAAATGCTCACAAGAGCTGGGGGTACACCAGGCCAGAAGCCAGGAGTCTGGAACTCCATCCGGATCTTCCACGTGGGTGGCAGGGGCCCAGGAACTTGGGCCAGCACCTGCTGCCTTCCAGGGTGCGCATTCGCAGGCAGCTGGAATCAGGAGCAGAGCCAGGACTCGAAACCCAGGCCCTCGTAGGGGATGCAGGCGCCCCACGCGGCACCTCCAGCGCCCTCAAGTTTGCTTCTAACTGTCCAAGTGACGGGAGCAGCTGTCATGTGCTCCCTGTGCCCAGGACAGGAAGGCTGGGCCGTGGGGGACACTCCTAGACCTTGGCCTTGGCCCGATCGTTGCTTCCAACACATTCCAGCTTCCTGGGCTCTCTCTGGTCCCCTGGGAGCCCTCACCCTGGAGGGTCGAGGTTCCCCCCTTACACCCCAGGCTTGGTCACTTCCCTTGGAGGCTGCTGGGCTTCCATGTTCAGAGTCAACAGTTCCCCGCCCAGCGCCTGTGCAGGCTCCGGCGGCGGCAGCCTGCCCGGCCACCCTCCCGATGGGTAGGACACAGCTGATTAAATTTCAGTCTTTCATCTTAGCTCATGAACCGCACTGTTGTAACCTTTGCTGGACCTGCGTGTTCCCAGCCTCCTGGCTTGTTCCCAGAGGGTAACTTTGTCTCCGGGGGCCGGGGTGGCGGAGGCGGCAGTGGGGGGTGCTGGTTCCCGCTGATCCCGGCTGTGTCTCTGCAGGCAGACCTGCGCGTTATGAGCCTACTGCTGGGCTACGTGGACCCCTCCCATCCCAGCTTCGTGGCCGCCGTCCTCACCATTGCTTTCAACCCACTCTTCTGGAATGTGGTAAGTGCACAGCTACGGGGGGTGGGGGGGGTTATTGGACACACGGACGGACAGATGGACGGCTCAGCCCTCTCTGCCGGCCAGCGTTGGGGTACTCACCCCTTGTCCTCTGCCTGCTCCCCACCACAGGTGGGCCCCTGTTCTGCCATCCTGTGGAAGCCCCTCACCTTGGAGGGGGTGCCAGTAAGGGGGTCTTCCTGGTGCCACAAGTGAGCGGCCGTGCATCTATCTGTCCCAAGTGCCTGCCACCCCAGCGGTAGCTTTCTGGGCTGTGCCATTGGTTACCTGGGTGGTGAAGGGGACCCTGTTCCCTCCTCTGCCAGGCACACGACACCCGGGATCCCCAGATGTACACCACGCCACACCTCCCAAATGTGCCCCTGGTGTGTTTCTGTCTGTGAGGTTTTTCCTGCAGGATGTATATGCTGGTGGCCTGGACTGAGCACAGAGACGGAGCAGTGCCTGGCTGGTGTGTGGGTACCAAGGGGCTGCACGATGGGCAACGCTGGGGCCAGGTGGTTAGCTCCTGTGGCAGCGCGTCCCTGTGTCCCCCACCCCCACCCCGAGCTGCGGGGTGAGGTGCTGGCGTTTCTGCTTCCCACCCCCCCACCTCCGTGGCGCTCTCCAGGCATCGGGGCTGGCTTGCCGATGCGGAGCTGTGGACGCCCTGTGTGCACCCTTCGGGCTAATCTGCAGAAGGCCAAGATTCGCGTCAGCCACACGCTGTTCCCTGCTGTTTTCATTTAAGGGGAGCCCTTGGTCCTGGGCAGAACTGGGCGTGTTTGCCATCTGCTGTTACAACTTGGGTCTTTTCGCCCATCTGGGAAGGGTGGTGGTGCGTGCGGTGGGGTGGGGGCCCAGCTCATCCCAGAGAGGCTGTCTCCAACACAGTGTACCCAGCACAGGAGGAGACGTGGCTCCCACTCCCCAGAAGACCTCCCCCCCCAACTCCCCTGAACCCGGGCTGGTTCTGCCTGAGCTGGCCTTGACCTCCCGCCCCGGCCCCTGGCGTGAGAGCTGTGTCTGCAGCACCCGGTCCGTCCGTGCACTCTCCCTAACCTGTGTGTGTGTACACGTCACCAGCATGCCCGGGTCCTGAGGTGTGTGGAGCAGGGCGTGGCTCACTCTTGGCCTTGAAGGCCGGGGCTCCAGGCCCCTGGGGCTTGGGAGAGAAGACGTTTCTGTTTTCAGCCAGGAAGTTTGTGGAGTTGTTCTTGCAGCTCAGGAAATGGATAACGGTACGGGCAAAGGCTCCAGATCTGAGGTGGGGCGTGTTGGGGTGGGCTCCATCCCAGCTGCAGGCCTCTTCCCACAGCAGGAGGGCCCTGTGCCCCCACGGCGGCCTGGAGCCCCGTCTCTGGCTGGCTGCTGGCCAGGTGTGTGGCCGCGGACTCCGTCATTCCCGTGCCCGCTGGCTTCCCAGCTGGGCGGGCGCACGCAAGGCAGTGGGGGGGGGGGGGGGGGGCGGTGGGGGGACGGGATGCTTTCATTCAGGCGCGAGCCCTCTTGGGTCTTGTCCCGCCCCTGTGGTTTTGTGCATTTCTTCTGAAGCTGCGTCATGGCCCCGGGGCTCCACCACGGCGGCCAGGCGGCTGACGTTGAGTGCTGGTCACAGGGCTCTGTTCTCTGGCCGTAAGTTTCTGATTTGTCCCATCTTGAACAAATTATCCCCTGGACCAGCTTGTGGGTGGGAGAGCCAGCGCCTGGAAGGCGGCTGCTGGGACCAGGAAGGGCTGGTGTCACAGCAGTGGGGGAGGGGGAGCCAGCTGGAGCAGGGCCTGTGGCTGGGGGTGGGAGGTGGGGCGAGAGACCCTGCTGCCCGCAGTAGGAGGGGTCGCCCTGTGCAAGCTGGCAAAGGACAGGGATGACAGTTAAGCAAGCGTCAACCCGGGAGGTGGGGCTGGCCTATCTGGCTGGGCACCACAGAGCCGGGGTCCTGGCAAGCCCCCGCACGCCCACCCCAGCTGCCTCAGTGTGCAGAATATGGAAGAGACTAGGCCCATGGGGCGGCCTCTCTTTCTAACAACTTACTCTTAGGAGAACTCAGTCCTGCACTAACTCAGCCCTGCAGGGCCGAGGTCAGTCCCTTCCCTGGGCGGAGTCCCCATCTCCTCCTCCCGCCACCTCAGCACCCTGGGGACCAAGCCTGCAGCACGTGAACCCTGGCGGGGGAGCCTGCTCACACCACATCCAAATCAGAGAGGTTACTTAGGGCCAACGACGGGTCAGGCAGCGTCCCCGGGCACTGGGCAGGTGCTGTGGCAGCCTGCAGGGGGAAGGTACAGGAGGGAGGGCCCGGGCTGGGGCCTGGGGGACAGCGTGCCAATCACGAGTGCAGGGGTCCTGGTTTGAGCCTGTCCTTGTCCTGGAGTCAGGCGGTGGGGATAGTGGCACGGGCCCTACAAGTTGTGGGAGGACGGTGTTTGGAGGCTGAGCTGGGAGCCCGGTCAGCCACTGAGGCCCAGATGGAGGCTTACTGCGGAGCAGGGCCAGGGCGTGGTGTGTGTGTGTCGGGGGTGAGGGGGTGATTGCTGCAAATGTCCAGGAAGACTCTGGTGGGACTGCGGGAACATCTGCCTGGGGCCCGAGGGGCCAGGGGGAGGCTGTGGCCATTGAGATGGGGCAGCCGAGGGGCGAGGGGCTGCGGAGTGAGAGTTCAGTTCTGTTTGCGCAGGTGGGCAGTGGCCATGGGCTCCAAGAGGAGGTGGAGGTGGTGTGTCTGGGGTTCTGGGGGTATGGCTGGGGCGGAGTCTAACCTTGATGCTCTGCCCAGAGGAGGCTACAGGGGGCGTGGCCTCCACGCCTGGGTCTCCCATCTGTGCCTGGAATCCTCAAGCTGTGGATACTTGGGTCTGGGCCCTGCAGCCCCACCTGGGGTCAACAAACTGTGGCCAAGACCTCCCTGGGGTGCTGTCCCCTCCCACCTCCATGAAGGAGGCCCCTCTCCAGGGTCCAGGGCAGAAATCTAGAGTCTGCCCTCAACTCCTTCTAAACCCTGCCCCAGGGTCCCGGTCCATCCAGCTTCAGGCCACGTCCGTGCAGCTGCCTGGCCAATCTCCCTGCAGGTCACCCGCAGCCGTCCCCAAGTGCATGGCTGTTTCCAGCACCCAGCGGCCACTCTGCCGTCTAGGAGGGGTTAGCTCCTCGGCTGACCCAGGAGGCCCCTCCGCAGGCATCCTCTTGTCTGCCTCCTGGTCATCTGGGTCCTGGCCCCTCCCAGGGTCACCTGGTCACTAGCATTCGGGGCCAGCCCAGGCACTGCCTGACGCTCAACCGCAGCCCTGGCCTCTGCCCACTAGGTGGCAGTAGCGGCCTGGCCTTGACACTACCTGCGGCCGCCAGGGGCGCAGTCGCCCTTGCTGGTCTGAGTGCCCAGCGCACGTCCAGAGTCCTCTCAGCCAACATGTCTAGTCTCCCCATTTACTCCTCGCAGCCCACTCAGGCAGAGCGTCTCCCCACCCCCACCCCTGGCTTTGTGGGAGAAAAAGAACTGCAGGGGAGTCAGACACAGAGACCCACCACCTGAGCTCCCCGCTGAAGGTGGGACAGGCGCCCCCTGCTGCCCAGTCCCTAGGGTGCGTGCGGTGATTGACAAGTCAGCGGTGGAGACGGGATGAAGCCAGCCAGGGTACGTTTCTAGACAGGGCGGCCGGGAGTGCGATGGGCTCCCTGCAGGGCCCTGCCTGGAAGGTGGGGGTGGGGCGGGGTCCCTCCAGCTTCAGGGGCCAGGTGCCTCGTGTGTTCCCTTCCATGCCTCCTGGTCTCCTCCCCACTGCCCTCCTTCCTTGTCTGTGAGCACTCCACCTTCGGGCCCCCCTGCATGCACAGTGCATCTGCCTCACCCCCCTCTCTGGGCAGATCCGTCAGCGTGCCCAGTGAGAGAAGGTGGTGGACCAGGTCAGCCGCCGACAGACACCTGGCCCTCACTTCCACACCAGGCCAGGGCTCCACCCATGGCCCTGCTGGTGCCAGCTGGCGGGGGCCCATGGGCACGATGTCTGCATTAGGGTGGGTGGCCTGCCTGCCAGCCAAGATGGACCTGTCTCAGGGCATTTGGTTAGGGAAGAGGTGGCTTTGCCTCTCCAGGAGGTGGAGGAAGCTCCTCCCTGCCCTGGGTGGAACTGGGGTTCCCACGGTGGGCGTGTTTGACCCCCTGATACCTATACCTGTGGCCTCAAGGGCTGGAGCAGCCTCTTTGGAGGGAGTTTCCTGGCGACTGGACAGTAGGTGGTGCTGTGGGTGCAGGGAGGCAGGAGCTGGAGCAGCTGGGGTGTAGCCACCACACTGCCTGCCACCTGCTCCTCAGTCACCAAGCCTGTGCTCCCTCCCCTGCACCACCGCCACCCCCTCAGGTTCCCGCTCCAGCCAGCAATCCTTTGTCTCACTTCTGGGTGCCCCGAGGAAGTGCTGGGTGCCCAGGAAGCTGGCGCTGAACCGCCTGCAGCGGCAGTCCTGGTCCCATCCATTGTGGTTCCTGTCTCCATCTGTGTGTGCATGGATGTGTGTGTGTACATGAGTGCGTGCATGTATGCAGGTGTGTACATGTATGTGGGTGTAAGCGTGTGTGCATGTATGCATGTGTGTACATATGTGCGTGTGTGCATGTATGTGGGTGTGAGCATATGTGCGTGTGTGCATGTATGCAGGTGTGCACATATGTGGGTGCGAGCATGTGTGCGTGTATGCAGGTGTGTGCATGTATGTGGGTGTGAGCATGTGTGCATGTATGTAGGTGCGTACATGTATGCAGGTGTGTGCCTGTATGTGGGTGTGAGCATGTATGCAGGTGTGTGCATGTATGTGGGTGTGAGCATGTGTGCACGTGTGTGCATGTATGCAGGTGTGCATGTATGTGGATGTGAGCATGTATGCAGGTGTGTGCATGTATGCAGGTGTGCGTGTATGTGGATGTGAGCATGTATGCAGGTGTGTGCATGTATGCAGGTGTGCACGTATGTGGGTATGAGCATGTGTGCAGGTGTGCATGTATGTGGGTGTGAGCATGTATGCAGGTGTGTGCATGTGTGCATGTGTGCATGTATGCATGTGTGCGTGTATGTGGATGTGAACATGTATGCAGGTGTGTGCCTGTATGTGGGTGTGAGCATGCATGCAGGTGTGTGCATGTATGCAGGTGTGTGCCTGTATGTGGGTGTGAGCATGTGTGCACGTGTGCATGTATGCAGGTGTGCGTGTATGTGGATGTGAGCATGTATGCAGGTGTGTGCATGTGTGTGCGTATGTGGGTGTGAGCATGTGTGCATGTGTGTAGGTGTGTACATGTATGCAGGTGTGTGCCTGTATGTGTGGGTGTGGGTAACGAGAGTGTGTGTGTTCCAGTCAGAGGGTGGGAGACAGGGTGCAGTGCAAACCAGCACCTGTGTGAGACCCTTGCCCCCATCGGGCTCTGGAAACCTGGCTACCAGGGCGTGGCTCTGCACCCAATGGGCTCTGATCCAGTGTTTCGGGGCCAGAAGGCACTCTCTGCCAGGGCACAGCGTGGGTTTGCTGGAATGCAAGGCTGGGCTCGCTGGTGTAGCCTGGGGCCTTAGAAGGGTTTTGATCTGAGCAGAGGCAGCTGGCTCTGAGCACGCAGGGTGCTAGCCAGCCCACCCTGTGTCTCTGTGCCTCGGGGCCGGTGCAGCCCGAGGCACCGTGGCCCTCCCTGCTACTCACAGCCATGGGCTCTGTCTCCCGCCGGAAACAACCCAGCCTGCCCTGGCCCCGTGTTCCCCGTGTGCCCCGTGTGCCCCGTGTGCCCTGCATGGAGAGTTCCATGGCTCACTTCAGAACAGCGGTATCCAAGCAACATGGCGTCAGGAACTGGGTCAGCTCGCAGCCTTTGCCAGCTGGGCTCGGAACGACACAGCCCAGAACAAAGGGAAGGGGTCGGAGCCGGCAGGACCCCCAGGTCCCCGATGTGCCAGAGACATAGGCTGAGAGTTCTTAAGGGAGCTGGCCCTGGGCGGGCGTGGGAGGGGCGTCTCCAGCCCGCCTCTCCTTGAAGCTTTATTTTCGGTCCTGGCTTTCGTGGTGTTACGAGGCAGCGGACGGCGCGTCCTGTTCCTGCTGTGGTGTGGATGCTGCTTTGGGATTGGTCTCACTCTGGGGACCAGGAGCTGGGAGCAGGGCTGAATTCTATTCCTTGGCTTTGTCTTTTTTTTTTTTTTTAAGATTTATTTATTTGAAAGGAAGAGTTAAAGAGAGGGAGGCAGAGGCAGAGAGAGAGAAAGGCCTTCCACCTTCACTCCCCAAATGGCTGCAACAGCTGGAGCTGTGCCGATCCAAAGCCAGGAGCCTGGAGCTTCTTCCAGGTCTCCCACATGGGTGCAGGGGCCCGAGGACTTGGGCCATCCTCCACTGCTTTCCCAGGCCATAGCAGAGAGTGGGATCGGAAGAGGAGCAGCCGGGACTCGAACTGGTGCCCATATAGGATGCTAGCACTGCAGGCAGCAGCTTTACCCGCTATGCCACAGTGCCGGCCCCTTGGCTTTGTCGTTTAAGATTTATTTATTTATTTTTATCTATTTGAAAGGCAGAGTTACAGAAGGAGAGAAAGAGAGAGAGAGAGAGATTTTCTATTGACTGACTCACTCCCCAAATGGCTACAACAGGGTCAGGCTGAAGCCAGGAGACAGGAACTCCATCCAGGTCTCCCACTTGGTTGCAGTAGCCCAAGCACTTGAACCACCTTCCGCCAACTTCCCAGACCCATTATCAGGGAGCTGGATCAGGAGTGGAGCGGCCAGGACTCGAACCCCTGCTCTGATACGGGATGAGGGCATCGCATGCAGCCACTTTACCCACTGTGCCAGAACACTGGGCCTCCTTGGCCTTTTTCTTCAGTATTCCCAGCACGTCTTGCCCTCCTGCTTCTTCCTCCTGAGCCTGGCTGCCTTCAGGGTGGGTGGTGTGGCTTGAGTGGTCCATCCTGCTCCATGCCCCGCTGCCTCCCTCCCAAACATCTCCTCCAGCCAACTTCTCCTGGGCCAGAGCCCCGTGCACTGTGGATGGTAAGTGTGGTCTCACTTCCTCCCTGCACCAGGAGCTCTGGGAGCTGAGGGCAGGTCTGGGCCTAGCCTTCCTAGAGGAGGAGCCGTGCAGAGGCCCCGGGAGTGGTGGACCCTGGCAGGGTCAGCCCCTGCCACTGTGTGTGCATTAATGGGGTGCAACCCCCGGGGCCAGCCTGGCTGCAGCGTCTGCTCCTCCCCATTCTTGAGTCTCCTATTTAGGGGCCGGTTGAGATTGCTTAGGAAATTTCCAAGCTGAGCTTTGCTTTTTGTTGGCTCATTTCATTGCTAACCCAGCTGCCTGGTCTGGGACGTGCTGTGTGGGCTCTCCAGGAAGGGCAGTCTCCTCCCTACTTTGCCCAGATGTGGCAATGAGGCTTGGGGGACGGAGGCGGGACCGGGTACAAAGGGCTTTGGCTCAGAGGAGAAGCCGTGGTGGGCGCCAACGCTGCGGGGTAAGGGGGGAGTTCCCAGTGTCTCTGTCTTCTGCCGCTTCTGCCGGCTTTGGGCCAAGAGCTTTGACTCGTGCCCCAGCAAGTTCTGCAGCCAGGCGCCCTTGCTTCCCTAGGCACGAGGAGTCAGACCCACGGACTACTGGGTGCATATGTTCTGGGCCATGCGAGGGAGCCACGCCGTGCCAGGTGGCCTTGGGTTCCCGGTTCCCCTGGGGTGCTGCTGCCAAGGTGCCCTGGCTGCTCCGCCGTCGGCCTTGACCCCACCACCTTTGTCCCCACTTCCTGCTGGGCTTGCCTATCACCGCTCGGGAGGGCTGAGCTGGGAGGTGGGTGGTACCCACATGACCACACTTGGGCCCAGCCTTGCATTCCAGGGAATGGGGCCCTTGTTTGCTAGCAGCTGGGCCTTGAGTCAATCTCAGGAGTTTACTCAAAAGTGGGAACACTGGCAGGCCCCCCCGCAAGGTGTGCTTGGGCTCCTGCTGACCTCGGGCGTAGGGGGCCGGGGCTGGCTGTGGGGCTGCACTGGGCAGTGTCAGGTGGAGGGGGACAGGGAATCCAGTCCTGATGGAAAGCAGACTTCAGAGAGGCTGGTGGTCGGTGCACAGGTGTGGGGACAGACCGGAACCCTCCACCACCGCAGCTCTCTCAGTCAGGTGCCCGTGCCCGAAGCACTGGCCCAGTCCCCCGGAAGCAGGCGCAGGGCCCTGTGGTGCACAGATGGCTTGAGGAGGCAGCCACAGGCTCAGCCGGGCTGCTGAGACCCTTGAAGATGGTCCGCAGTGTGCCCGGAGCCCCTGGGGCAGCCACATGACCCTCCCTGCGCCTCTCCAGCCGAACGTGACACACAGCTGTTAGCCGCACATGGGCACGGATAGCAGGGGGCAGCTAGAGGCGGGCAGTTCGGATTCCTGTGTGCTGGGCCCTTGTCTCATGGAGCTGTGTCCTGCGCTGCCTCTCTGGGAGAGCTGGGGGCAAGAGAAGGAACTGAGTTCCAGTTCTAACCCTCTTGGGTCCGCTGTCAACCCAAGGAGGGGAAGAGGCTTGGAAACTGTAGGATTCAGGGACGGGCACTCCGTAGGGCGCAGGCGCAGGGGCAGGGGCAGCTTGCCACCCCCTACCCTGTATCCCCCACTTCTCCCCTCCCCACCAGCAGGAAGCCCTGGGCAGAGGGAGCCGGCTGCTGGCATGGGGCTCTCACCTCCTCTGGTGGCCCTAAGCTTCGTGGGTCCTCCTGGAGGTGTCTGTGGCCTGGGCCCGTCTGTGAGCCATTTGGGGGACGCCTTGCCACGCACGTGGGTGGTGTGGGGCAGCCAGGTTCAGGGGCCAGCGAAGAGTCCAAGCAGCTGGTCTGGAAGGCTCAGTGTGGGGGAATACCCTCTACCAGGAGCCAGTGCCATCAGGGCAGGGGCTGGGGCTGCACCCGGGGAGGGTTTGTGGGGTGGCTGTGAGGGCCCCTGACCTCGCGTGCCGCGTGGCCTCGCATCCCGGAAAAGGCGTTTGGTTCCCGCCCTCCAAACTGAGAACATCACACCTTGCCCAGGGGCACCACTGGGGGCTCGGATGAAGGGCGGCCCCTGGCCAGCCTGAGTTGCCTCACACCCTGCCGCTTCCATCCACCTGTATGGTGCGGTTGTCATGGAGACCAGATGCGTAATGGTGTGAGAAGGAAAGTTCTTGGTCCAGGCAGAAGGGGTTAAGTCCTTACTATCAGTGGGATTGGCCATGAAGTTTTTTTTTTTTTTTTTTTAATGCTTCTGTTTATTTAAAAAATTCGTGTGAGAGGCAGCCGAGGGCAGGAGGCACGGAGAGGGCCCCCCCACCTGCTGGGCCCACTTTCCCAGATGCCTGGCTTGTTGGCTGAAACTGGGAATGGGAATGCAATGCAGGGACCCAACTCAGCCATCACTGCTGCCTCCCAGGGTCTGTGTTGGCAGGAAGCTGGAGTCTGGAGCGTGAGTGACGGCGCTTCCCCAACCCCGAGGACTGACAGACTGCAGGTGCAGTTGCCGAGGCCAGGGTGTGGCCCCCTAGAATCGGCCCCAGTAACAGCACAGTGCCTGGAAGCCCCTCCTTCCCCTCCAGCTAGGAGGCGCTGTGCCCAGCTGTGTGTGCACTGCTTCCTGCCCACCTCCTGGCAGCCCCTCGCCAGGGTGCCGGGGTAGGGTCTGAGCTCCAGGGGGCCCAAGGAAGCTCAGCGGGGATGCTGCCCGGAGGAGAGGATGTGAGCTGCACAGCAGGTTCACCCTCGGCCTGCAGCAGGGACCCGCCTGCCCTGTGTTCCCCTGGGGACCCCCTGTGGGATGGGCGTGTGTGTGCTCTCCCTGTGTGGAACACAGAGCTCCACCTGCCCCGTGCGCCTCCTTAAGGGCCCCCAGCCTCTCCCAGAGCCCACTCTTGGAGCCAGGCCTTGGAGCCCATGAGGCCACTGTGGGTGCTGCGGTGGGGCAGGGTGACCACTGGGAGCGGTCACGTGCAGATCAGATTCTGCCTCTTGTCAGACAGGTGGGGAATCTCAGGTGCAGCCACCGGTAAGGCAGTAGTGGCAGGTGAGGGGGTGGGGCCCTGTCAGACGGGACACACCAGCCTGGGCAGGGGTCAGGGGTAGTGGCTACAGTGCAGGGGCCCCAGCCACCCACGCTGGGTGCCCAGAATCAGCGGCTCTGATATCATTGTCACCACTCCTCCCAGCGCGCTGTATCTGCTGGGTGCTGATAGGGTTCCAAGGGGTCAGCTCTGAGGACCAGGGTGAGGGTGGGGGGCTAGGCAGGATGGGGGAGGGACTCTCACTCTGCTGCTGCCCCCAGCTCTACACACCTGCAGCAAGATGGGAACCCAGCCCCTAGCCACACAGCACTGGGCCCCTGCGGGCATCAAGAGGCCACACACCCCGCGGCACCCTCCCCGCTGGAGCTGGAGCCCGCACGTGTCCCTTGCTGGCTTCTCTCTCCACGCCTTGACATCCGGGCTGCCCTGTGCCCCGCCTGTGTCAATATTTTGGCCGCACGTGAGACTTCCTGTGGGCAGGGCTGCGCAGGGCTGCACGTGGAGTGGCCGCGTGAGGCAGCCCCATGCCAGCCAGGCCTCTGCCTCCACCCCCCACCGCCCTCATCAAGGGCCCTGAGGCAGTGATGCACCTTCCCTGCCCCCACCCCCCATCGCCCTGGGCCCCTGAGCACAGGGACCCTCAGGCAAGATGGCTGGCTGCTCAGAACCTCAGTTGTCTCACTTGTGAAATGGGCCCAGTGGCAGGGCCCAGCAGATGGGGGAGCAGCTCAGTGACTTCCCCTTGTCTCGCCTCCAGTCCCACTGCCCGGTCCACCTTCTACAGCCACCACGGGCCTTCTGTTGTGGAACCGGCCTGTGGCCTTTGTTGTTGGAAGCCAGCTGGGCAGCCAGGGCTATGGCATCCAGCCCAGGATTGGCTGCTCCCTCTGTGTCTGAAACAAGACCCTGAACCGCACTCCCGTGCCTCAGTTTCCCCATGTGAATCAGACTTAACCAGGGTAATGGTAATGAGTAGACTGCCCGGGGCAGGGCCAGGCAGAGCCCAAGCTGGCTGTGGCTTTGTCCTTGGGGTCCTGCCCCAGTGTGTGCCTTGGAAATCAGGATGCCTGTGGATCCCGCCAATCATATGAGCCCCCGCCCTGGGCCCTGGTGGAAAATAGAATTTGACCGTAGGGCTGGGTGCAGGAAAGATTGTGACCACCAAGTCCCAGATGTGGGGCCTGGGGCTCGGGGCATCCAGGACACAGGGCATGGTTGGTTAGGAGGCAGTTGTGTAGGTAGGCTGGGGCGGGCAGAGCTGGAGAGGAGTGGCTGAGGCGGGGCTGGACGCTGCCTTGCACCTGCTGGGCTGGCGTGGAGCCGCGTGGGGCTGGCCGGGCGGGCTGGTCCTGCACCTGCTACACCTACAGAGTCCTCCACCCTCACGGCACTGCTCCCTTGCCACGCGGGACTTTCCCCAAGGTGAAAAAGGTGCTGACAGGTGTCCAGACATGGGCTGGGGTCAGTCCAGCTGGGCTGCTCATTGGCTCTGTGGCTTTGGCTAAGTCACTGCCCTTCTTGGGCCACGTCACCTCCACTTTGCCTTTTGTTTGGTCATGGAATTAGGCCATGTGTGCTAAGGGCAGGGCCCAGGGCCTGGCCCATGACTGGGGAGTTGTGAGGGTCAGGGGGAGGGGGCGGGGACAGCCACCAGTGCCCGCTCCCGCCTCCCACACAGGCTATGCTTGGCCCAGCCTCAGCACTAGCCAGGCCATGTCTGCCTTGCTCTGTGGCACCTTGCTGCCCCTGGCCTCCCTGAGGGTGACAGCTGGCTGCTCGTCGGGCAAACCTGAGGGCTCCCTGTCTGCCTCCCCCAGACACTTGCCCGTGGCCAAGGGATGGGGTGAGGAGGTGCTGGGGACGCACCGGCCTCGGTCCCCTGGGGTCCCTCTGGCCAGAGCAGGCCTGTGTCTGCTGTGAGTGGTGGAGAAGCTGGGTCTGGGGGTGGCAGCCAGACAACAGTGTGGGGTTCTAGCCCCTGTCCCACTACTGCTGCTGGCCAGGGGCTGTTGCATCCACTCTGCCCCTCACTCCTGGCCACCCGGTCCTGGCTCCGCCCTTGCACAGAGCCTCTTGGGAATCCCAGCCAAGACCCCCCAGCCTCCTGACTGCAGCCCCAAACACTCACTTCGACCCAGAGCCCCCTCCCCCCCAGCCTCCTCCTGTGCCTCCCTGGCCTCCTCCACACCCCCGGGACAGCTCTTCCTCCCAGCCCCACTGGCCTTCGTCACCTCCAAGGACTCGAAGGCCCATTGCAGGGGCCCAGCCCAGGCGCTGCTCCCGATGGAGGCGACTTAACACCGCCAAGTACTCCCAGCACGCTGCCTGCCCGGCCAGGTCACCGAGGGCCAGGCCTGGGCCTCAGACAGGCTGCCAGGGCTCCAGCCCTGGTTCTACCCGCCCTGAACAAGTCATTTAGCCTCTCTCAGCCTCAGTGTCCTGCTGGGTGATAGGCACAGTGGTGCTGGCCTCCAAGGCAGGGCCTTGCCCCGGAAGTCCCAGCTTCCCCAGCAGGGAGGGGCTGTGGAGGGGGAGGGCTTCGGGGGTCAGTCTTGCCCGTGGCTTGTGCTGGCTGCAGAGCCTGAGCAGCCCATGAAGCTCTCCGGGGCTCTGTTCCAGTCTGTAAAACTGGGGAGAGCAGCATATGCCTTAGGGAGGAAGCGAGCAGGCGGGCCCGCCCGCTGCGGGTGGGGACATGGGAAGGATGCAGACGGTTTGCAATGCATCCTGGAGGTAGCACCAGGTATGTGGCCGGACGCCTTCCCAGCAGGCCTTGCTGAGTGCCAGGCACTCAGGGTGGGCTGTCCTGCGGGCTGGGGGTGGTCTCTCGGAGGGGCGCAGCTGGAGGGTCCTCCTTCTGTTGCCCATGAAGACCGCAGGTCCAGGGGAGCAGGACGTTGGCACAAGCCCAGTGCCCAGCTGGGCTGCGTCCAGTTCTGTGCCCTTGGCTCCCGCTCCTCTGATTGTCTTACAGCGGGTGCCACATGTGTGGGGCTCTGGGGCCCCCGGCCCAGCCTACTAAGCGTTGCCCGGTCCCCTTTGGGCCCAGAACTGTTGGGTGCCTTCTCTGAGGCCTGCCTCCCCTGGCCCCCAAGGGAGGACCTGCACCCAGAGTGTGGTCTGCCTCCACCCTGGCCTGCAGCGTCCCACTAGAGGCCTGCTGAGGTCTGCTATGGTTCTGCCACCCAGCAAACACTTCCTGAGCTTTTGCCGCTGCAGGAGCTGTGGGGCGTGTGGAGGCTCCTAAGGGCCGCTGTGTGTCCCGGGCGGGCAGTGAGCCGACCCCGGCCACTCTCCTGCAGGACTCCCTGTGGGAAGCAGTGTCTCTCCCCGGGCGAGTGTTTGCACGCACCGCACACCCGGTGTGTAGAGCAGCGTGAGACCAGAGAAGTCGGCTCCATGCAGAGGCTGAGGGAGGAGCCTGGATGTGCCCCGTGTGGCTGCAGGGTGGGGTGGGGTGGGCTGGGGAGGATCAGCTGGGCTGGAAAGGCCAGGGCTGCCCAGAGTCAGAGCCGGGCTCAGGGGCAGTAAGTGCAAAGACTCTGGGAGGAGCCAGGCATTGCAGGGGGAGGGGGAGGGATGTGAGGTGGCCGCCCTGCCACCCACCCGGACTTGATAAGGGGACTGGAGGCGTCCGAGGCAGGGCCCTGGGGACCAGCCAGGACCCCAAGGCCTCCCCGCCCAGCCTTTGCCACAGATGAGAACTTTGCTTTCCCATGGGAGCCGCTTCGGCCTGCCGGTGCATCCGGTTCCTCATCAGAGAGACTGCCCTCCAGGGGCCTCTCTGTTGGTGATGACAACCCCACGAGGGAGCAGAGGCCTTGGCTGGCGCTGGCCAGCAATCTCAGGACTGGGCGTGGGGGTGGGGCATGTGGCCGCTGCGTTGGTTGTTTCAGGGCTGCCAAGTGGAGCCGGGGCTTGTGGGGGTTGGGGGGTAGGAGCCACCCGAACTGCTCGGGACCCCTCGTCATCTCCTCGTCCTGGGACCAGGGACAGCCCCCACCTTGGCCGGATGTGTAGCTGTGTGCCTGTCACTCAGCACCGAGGCCTGGTCCCTGCACAGGAGCCCCACAGGGTTCCCTTGAAGCTGCGCCGTGGTCAGGGGCCAGAAAGCCCGGGCTAGCGGGTGGAGCAGGAGCTGGAGGGAGGGCCTGGGGGACCCTGCGGCCACCCCGTTTCCTAGGTGGGGGACAGTCAACACCCACCTCACCCCCGGCATTGCCTGCCGCCAGAGGCACCAGCATTTTTTCCTGCTGGGCTGCAGCATCACAGTGGGCATTAGCGGTTGGTGTGGACCTGGGGGCCGACGAGGTGCCGAGGAGGGGAGGGGAAGGGAGGGGGGAGGAGAGGAGAGGAGAGGAGCTGCTAAGGTCGAGGCCAGGCATGCACAGCACCCGCCCGCGTAGGGGATGGCTATGGTGAGGTGCGCCCCACCTACTGGTTACACAGTCAGGGACCACTGGGAGCCCGGGTGGCTTTGTCTCTTGTGGGCCTCCCAGTTTGGAACACCTGACCCATGCTGGGCCAGACCGGGGCCCGTGCTCTGGAGCGGGGAAAGGTGGAGTGGTTGCTGTGCCCCACCCCCACCCCAGCTACCTCCCCCCTCCCCCTGCCCCAGCTTCCTGGACCCTGCCTTCTCCCTTGATGTCGCCTTTCACTTCAGGGGCAGGTGGGGGTGACAGGGCTTGTGCGGAGGGCGAGTGCCTGCCCCTCTCTGTGTGCATGTCCTCCTGTGTGACGAAGCCACCAGGTTCCGCCCCCACGGAGTCAACCAGCTGTGGCTGAAAATATCTGGAAACAACTGTACGTGTACTGACCTCAACAATACATCCTGGCCACTATTGATAAAGCCCTCACGTTATGTAAGGTGTTACGTGAAGTGTGAGCAGGTTATATGCAGGTACTATGCCATTTCTTTAAAATATGTATTGTGTGTGTGTGTGTGTGTGTGTGTGTGTGTGTGTGTGTGTTAGAGGAAATGGAGATCTTTTTTAAAAAAAAGTGTATTGTTTTGGATTCTATTGAAAGGCAGAGAGAGAAAGATCTTCCATCCACTGATTCTCTCCCCAAATGCACAACAGCTGGGGCTGGGCCAGGCCTTTGCCAGGAGCCAGGAGCTTCATCGAGGTCTCCCGCGTGTGTGTGGCAGGGGCCCAAGGACTTGGGCCTCAGCTGCTGCCTCCCCGGGAGCCCGTGAGCAGGAAGCTGGAGTGAGGAGGAGAGCCAGGACTGGAACCCAGGGGCTCTGCTATGCCATGATGCAGGGCTCTCACATGGCCTCTCTCTCTCTCTTTTTTTTTTTTTTTAAAGAGATTATTTGAAAGGCAGAGAGAGAGAGAGAGAGAGAGAGGATTTCCATCCTCTGGTTCACTCCCCAAATGGCCACGATGGCCGGAGCTGTGCTGATCTGAAGCCAGGAGCCAGGAGCTTCTTCCGGGTCTCCCACGTGGGTGCAGGGCCCAAGCACTTGGGCCATCTTCTTCTGCTTTCCCAGGGCACAGCAGAGAGGTGGATTGGCAGAGGAGCAGCCGGGACTTGGACCAGCGCTCATATTGGATGCCGGCACTGCAGGCCATGGCTTTACCGGCTACACCACAGTGTCGGCCCCACCACGTGGCCTCTTAACCATGGCACCATTTTAAATAAGGTTCTTTGAGCATCTGTGGGTTTCAGGCTTCGAGGGAGTCCACGGCCACTGGGGGATGGCAGGCGCTGCTTGTAGGGTGGCTGTGATTTCACAGGGTGCTCCAGCCCCTTAGAGCCCATGCAGAGTGTGTTGGGCCCACGCCAGAGCCCCTCCCTCGAGGGCATGGGGCTGTGCCCCACCTGTGAATGTTGGTTGAATGGGTGCATGAATATGTTGTGCCTGCTTTTCCTCCCTGTGCTGTGGGTGTTTTTTAAAGTGCTTGCTGCTGGGGAATCCTGCCCTTCAAGGCTCCGTGGGCTGGGCCCCATGTGGCTCACGGCTCTTTTACTGGCTTGAGCTCAGCCAGGACCAAGAGAGGCAAGCTGCCTGCTCCTGCCCGAAGAGCACTGTGCCTGCCTGAACATTCTAGAAGTGCCCTGTTTGCCTCTGAAGTCAGGGCAGTTCTCTCCAAAGCAGGCTGGGGGTGGGATAGGGAGGTGGGTTTGGATATGGAAACCTCTGGGGGTGCTGACATCATGCCGCCCCCTCCCCTCACGAGGGTCAAGGGCAGAGGCTGGCTTCACACCCGCAGCTGTGGTCTCAGGCTCCCAGGTACCAGAAGGCAAGCGCTTCCTATGCACAGGTGTGGAACGAATGCGAGAAGACGACGCGAGGTGCTCGGAGCCACCACTTGCTGTTGGCTGCCTCCCCCAGCTTTACCCCCTCCCAGAGCAGTTCCCCCCACCAACCAGGCAGGCTGTGTGCTGGGCCCGAGGGAGTGCACCCATACCCCAGCCTCTTCTGAGACAAGCAGGAGAAAGGAAGGGAACCAAGGAGACATAGCCACAGAAGTTTCTAGGTTTTTCTTGCCTTCCAAGTAGGAGCTCTGGCCTCATTTTGTGAGTTGCAGAAGGTCCTGGAAGAGGCAGTCGCACCTTCGGGGCAGCCAAGGAGCAGGTGTGTACGTGGGTCAGCGGGGTGCTCGTGGTCAGGTGGATGAGAGGGCAGGATCGGGGTGCTCCCGAGCAAGGGACCTGGCGTGACTTTACGTGTGGGGTCGCTCAGAGACAGGAGCCAGGGTCACCACCAGAAGACCCGGATGTCATTGGTACAGGTGTCCCTTAGCGAGTCCTCGAGGCTGTCCCAGGAAACAGAGGTGGTTATGGGCAAGAGGAAGGGGAGCCCGAGGTGCGCAGGTGCCACCCCCTGCCCTTCCCCTCACCACTCCCCGTTCCCACGGCCAAGCCCTGGTGCTCAGTTCTGAGCCAGGATGACTCCTGGCTGCCCGTGATAGGGGTGGAGCAACCGTCCCTCCCTGGGATAGAGCGGGTGCAGCCTCCAGCACCCCCATCCTGTGTCTGCATCTGCCTGTGTGCACAGACAGGGCCAGGACATGAACTCCTCGCCCCTACCCGGAGAGGGGGTGAGAACACCCTGCGTGGGGACATCAAAGCCCTTTAATCCCCAGCACCTTCTCACCCAGGTGGGAACCTGCATGGGCACTGGTTTCCATGAGGAAGGTCGGATCAGGCTCTGGGCGGTGGGCGAGGGGCTGGGGCTCCACGGATGAGCGGCCTCCAGTACCTCCCCACTCTCAGCTGGGGCACGCAGCCCCCACCCCAGGCTCCTGCGCAGTGCGGGGCTGGGGGCCAGGGGCCAGAGTTGGGGCCCAGGGACGGTGCAGCGTGTTCCGAAGAAGCTGTTCCCTGTGCGGATTTGACACATCCTTGCCTACCCCCAGAGCAGCAGTAGTCAGGTGCCAGATCCAGTGGCCTAATTTTAGACCAGAGGCACAGCAGGGTAATTAAAACAAACAAACAAAAAAAGAAGGCAAGGTGGCCTTGACCCCTTGTTAATTTCCCATGGTGGGGAGCAAGGGTCATTGAATGCCTGCTGGCCTGCGGGGGTCTCCGTGGCCCCAGTATTACAGGTCTTGCTCTGCTTGGCTGAGTGTGGGACCTGTGGGAACCTGCCCAGCTTTGCATGGGCTCGGAGCTAGAATCACCTCCAGCTCTGGGCCATGGGCACAGGCTGCTGCTCCTGGCTTCCTGTGCAGGAGTCACGTTTGAAACCTCAAGGAGCCGGCGCCGTGGCTCACTAGGCTAATCCTCCGCCTAGCGGCGCTGGCACACCGGGTTCTAGTCCCGGTCGGGGCGCCGGATTCTGTCCCGGTTGTCCCTCTTCCAGGCCAGCCCTCTGCTGTGGCCAGGGAGTGCAGTGGAGGATGGCCCAGGTGCTTGGGCCCTGCACCCCATGGGAGACCAGGAAAAGCACCTGGCTCCTGGCTCCTGCCATCGGATCAGCGTGCTGCGCCGGCCGCAGCGCGCCAGCCGCGGCGGCTATTGGAGGGTGAACCAACGGCAAAGGAAGACCTTTCTCTCTGTCTCTCTCTCTCACTGTCCACTCTGCCTGTCAAAAAAAAAAAAAAAAAAAAAACCTCAAGGAGGTGATGGCCGTGTGCGGGTCACGCCCTGCAGGGAGGCGTGGGCAGCAGGCAGCGAGCCCCGCCTTCTCCTGGAAGGGGGGGGCGGCGGGTGGGGGCAGCTTCCTCAGCGGCCTTCCAAATAATGGAAGAAGGCGCTGATCTCGCTAACCAACGTTCAGGAGCACCCCGGGAGCGCTGGCTGTGTTCTGATGTACGCTTTTGGGTGGGTGGCCCGCACCGCGTGCACCGCCACTTGTCTGCCTACAAGGATAGGGTCCCCGTCTAGACCCAGAGCTGCCATGGGTGGCGTGTTGTATGTGTGGGGAGGTGAGGGCATCGCAGGGAGGGCAATGTATTTGTGAAGGACCGAGGCTGCAAGTGCCGGAGCCATGACCTTTGACCCCAGAGTGCCCCCAGGGGTCCTGGTTTCGGGTGTCCCTACAAAGCTCCTGCAGACCTGGCTTGTGGGGCCGGCACTGTGGCAAAGCTGCGACTTGTGACGCTCGCATTCTGTATAGGAGAGCCTGTTTGAGTCCCAGCTGTTCCACTTCCCATCCAGCTCCCTTGCTAATGCGCCTGGGAGAGCAGCGGAGGATGGCACCAGTGCTGGGACCCCTGCACCCTGCCTGCATGGGAGACCAGGAAGACGCTCTTGGCTCTTGGCTTCAGCCTGGCCCAGCCCTGGCTATTGTGGCGATTTGGGGTGGGGGGTGAATCCATGATTGAAAGATCTCTCTCTCTCTTTCTCTCTGTAACTCTGCCTTTCAAACAAGTAAATCAGTCTTTAAAAGAGCTAACCCGGCTTGCTCGGTGAACAGAAAGCTACACAAGCTGCAGCCCCCCCGCAGGCTGCCTTGTCCCCTCCTCTGGTGTCAGAGAACCGCAAATGCGCCTGTCCCCAGAGGGCCACAGGAGGTGCGGCCGTGGGAGGACGCTAAGCCCAGACTGTACCCGGCGAGGAGAGAAAGGGTCCCCGTGTCCAGCCCATGCTGTCCCCTCGCTGTCAGATGTTGTTTTCGGGGACAGTCGCACCTCCCTGTGAAGAAGGATCGGGTGTCCGTGGCGGCCGTCTTTCAATGCCTCTCCCTCCAACGCCGCCACCCCCACCCCATGCCCACACTGCCCGGGCTTGCACAGCCTCTGGCATAGCATGCATGGCGTGGAGCTGCAGGTTCAGTGTGGCCTGCAGGCAGCACGGGCGGCTGTGTGGTTGTGGCCAGGGGCATGTCCCTGTCTGCACAGGGCAGGGGGGCTGAGGCGGCTCAGACCCTGGAAGGGAAACACTGCTTCTGCCCTGTGCTGTCTCTGCAGCTTCTCAGGAAATACAAAAATATTCCAGAATAAGGGTTACTTTTATTTTTTTAAAAGATTTATTTGAAAGGCAGAGTTACAGAGAGGCACAGTCAGAGAGAGAGAGAGTTTTCTATCTGCTGGTTCACTCCCCAAATGGCTGCAAAGGTCAGAGCTGTGCCGATCTGAAGTCAGGAGCCAGGAGCTTCTTCTGGGTCTCCCATGCAGGTGCAGGGGCCCAAGCACTTGGGCCATCTTCTACTGCTTTCCCAGGCCATAGCAGGGAGCTGGATGGGAAGTGGAGCAGCTGGGACTCGAACTGGCGCCCACATGATGGAGGCAGTCGCCCTGCAGTCTGCTGCCCGCACACTTCCTTCCTCCTGCGCTCACTCTGTGTACCCACCACGGAGCCCGCGTGAACTCTGTGCCACGGACTTGACTTCTTCTTCTTCTTTTTTTTTTTTTTTTTTTTTTTGACAGGCAGAGTGGACAGTGAGAGAGAGAGAGACAGAGAGAAAGGTCTTCCTTTGCCGTTGGTTCACCCTCCAATGGCCGCTGCGGCCGGCGCGCTGCGGCCGGCGCACCGCGCTGATCCGATGGCAGGAGCCAGGAGCCAGGTGCTTTTCCTGGTCTCCCATGGGGTGCAGGGCCCAAGCACCTGGGCCATCCTCCACTGCACTCCCTGGCCACAGCAGAGGGCTGGCCTGGAAGAGGGACAACCGGGACAGAATCCGGCGCCCCGACCGGGACTAGAACCCGGTGTGCCGGCGCCGCTAGGCGGAGGATTAGCCTAGTGAGCCACGGCGCCGGCCCGGACTTGACCTCTTAACCCCTCCAGGGCCCAGCCCTGCTCAAAGTCCCCCTCCCCGGGACCCCAGGCACAGCTTGAGCTGCAGCTCACAATGGAGGGAGAGACTTGAGGTGTGGGCTCTGCGGCTGGATCTGGGAGCCCGGGGAGCACCAGGCTGGTGAGCCAGAGAAAAGCCCACGAGTTTTTATTCCATTTACATTACGTGTGCATGGGTCCTCACGGGAGGGCGAAGGCTGAAGAAATGGCCGGAGCATGGTGCTTTTGTCCTTTTTAGACCCAAAACAAAAAATGCGTGAAGCAGCGGCCAGATGGGGGTATCTGTGGACCGGCGCAGTCCACAGATGGCACCAAGAGATCGAGGGGCCTTTAGAAGGTGTATGGGAAGCAAAATGAAAAGACATTTGTATTTTGGTGCAAAAAAAAAAAAAATTAAAACCCATGCATAGTGCTACCCAATCCCCATGCACCTTTTGAAGAACCTCTGTGTATGCACGGATTTAAAAAAATTATTTTATTTATTTGAAAGAGTTACAGGGGCCAGTGCTGTGGCATAGCAGGTAAAGCCATCGCCTGCAGTGTCGGCATCCCATATGGGCGCTGGTTCAAGTACCAGCCCCTCCACTTCTGATCCCGCTCTCTTCTATGGCCTGGGAAAGCAGTAGAAGATGGCCCAAGTCCTTGGACTCCTGCATCTATGTGGGAGACCCGGAAGAGGCTCCTGGCTCTGGATCAGCGCAGCTCCAGACGTTGCGGCCAATTGGGGAGTGAACCAGCTGATGGAAGACTCTCTCTCTCTCTCTGCCTCTCCTCTCTGTGTGTAACTTTTTCAAATAAGTAAATCATTTTTTTTTTTTTAAGAGCTACAGAGAGTGGTAGAGAGGTTTTGCATCCGATAGTTCACTACCCAAATGGCCACAACCGCTGGAGCTGGGCTGATTTAAAAACAGTGTTTTGCAGCAGCAGCAAGAAATTTGAAAGAAATTTCCTTTTAAGTCCATTTTCCCTGAACTTTGGCAAGTGCCATTGTCTGTAGGGGTGGAGGTGGAGGTGGGGGTGGGGGTGGGGGTAGAGGTGGAGTTGCAGAAGGTGCCGGAAGAGACAGGCTGCTTCTGAGAGTTCAGGTTCACAGCTGCTGGCACCCCCCTCCCCCCCCCCCCGACTGCAGGGGGAAGGCAGGCCAGATGTCCTTTGCCCCAGCTGCCGCTCTTCCGAGTGACTGCAGCCCGCATTATTCCATGCACCAGGCTGGCAGGCTCCCGGGGTGCACGGACACTGAGTGACCCGTGGGTGACCGTGGAGCAGCAGGTGTCCTGCGGGCCTGGTGTCTCTGCTGTGTTTAGGTGCACTTAGCCGCCCAAATGCTGTTCACTGTTGCGTTAGCAGCGCTCAGTACAGCAACGGGGCTCAGGGGTCTGTGGCCGAGGCGCAGGGGGCTCCACTGTAGGCCACGCGTGCAGCGGGCTGTTCTGTCTGGCTCTGTCCACCCAGCGCTGCCTCGAGATGGCGGAAGGCCCCTCTGCTCTGTTCTCAGTGCCCAGGGGCAGATCCGCGCGTGGAGTGGGGTGTGTGTGTGTTTGTGTTTGCAGCTTGTGTGTGAACACACGTCCTGGCCTTGGCAGCAGCTGCTCGGAGCCCCTGCGCCGAGCCATTCCTGCTGAATCCATTAGCTGTGTTAATAGTACGGCTGCTAATAGAGAACATTGGCTGCTCCCCGGGCGCCTCATAGGAGGGCACATCGGGGACACCGAGGGCGGCAGCAGCCTGGGGCTTTACAAGGGTGTGTCTTGTGCTGGGCTCACGCAGGGCCGGCCCTCAGCACCCCCTCCCACCCCTCCTTCCTCTTCTGTTTCTTGAAGGGGAGTGAGAATAAGCCCGGTGGGTGGGGTCACCAGCACGCAGAGGGTCGGTATGCCTGTGGTTGGGCGGGTAACAAAGCAGTTCCTGGGAACTTTCTGGGGACTGTGCGTGGTTGACTTCCAGATGAGGAGCCCTGTTGGGCCCCCCATCACCGGGGCTCCCTGTGGTCACGGGCCAGGTCAGCCCCAGGTGAGCCTGCAGGTGGAGGCAGGCGGGCGCTGGCAGGGGGGCTGTGGGCGAGGCTCCGCCCATCTCCACTTCTCTCTGGGTGCTGGAAGTTTCTTTTTCGCCGCCAATGCCGGAAGCGCTGTGGGCCGCTGAGATCCCAGGACTGCCTGGCCTGGCCCCCATGTGTGAGGCCGGTGCCAGTTTGAAGCTTGACCTGAAGGTGCGGTGCCGAAAGTCTTGTGCTCCAGGAGGGTGCCCAGTCTGGTTGGGAGGGTGCGGGGGATGGGGCCCTGCCTGGCCGGGGTGGTGGCCTGCACGAGGCTCACGGCCCCGCACTTGCTGCTGTCCTCCCCTTCCTTCTGCTAGTGACAGCCTCGCCCGCGGCCACTGCAGGCACTGGCCGTGAGGGATTAATCCTGGGACTCAGAGAGGTGCTTCAGGTGTGGCCCCCTCCCCGCCAGGCCACGTGGTGGCGGGAGCTCCCTGGAGCCGAGGCGGAGTCCAGCAGGGAGGCACTGGACCTCTCAGGCAGCGGGGGCTTTTCTTTAACTGAGAGAGAAGTGAGGGGGTTGGGCGGCCGGAGCAGACCCCACGGCCCGTCTGGTCCCTGAGAGTCGAGGACGCCCGCTTCCGGGCAGCGGCACAGCCTCTTTCCGGCCGAGAACATTGTGAGCGCCAGCTAGGGAGCAGGCAGGGGAGGGCTCGTTCCCACAGGGAGTGAGAGGCTGAGTCACTCACTGCATGTTCCTGTTGGCCAGAGGCCGCGGGGCTGGGCTCCCTGTCTGAGGTCCCCGCAGGCCGTGGCCCTTGGACACGCACCTGGAGAGGCCAGGCTTGCAGTGGGGGCGTTGCCTGGCCACGGTGCGGGGAGCGTGCTGGCCGGGCCGCTCCTGGCAGCTGCTACGCTGGAAGCCGATTGCCTTGAGTGGGCTTTTGAACGGGGATGCCTCTTTTGGGTCCAGCAGGGCCCGAGGCCCACCTTGTACTCGCTCCCCACCCCCCGTCACCTCCTTCCTTCCACAGGGTCTCAGTAGAAGCACTGAGCTGGGGACAGTCGGTAGGGGGAGGGGGACAGGGCCAAGATGGTGCCTGGGAAAGGCTTCTGGTACAAGCAGTCGGGAGGAAGCTCCTGCACCCCCAACCCATCTGCAGGTCAAGAAGTGGAGGAGCCGGCCCCGTTTTGTTGTGGCTTAGGGATGCCTTTTCCGTTCAGGGAGGTTTAATGACCCAGAGCTGGTTCAGATATTGGAGACCGTTATGTGGCCCCTGTCTCCCCGGCTTGGGGGGGGGGCCTTGGCACAAGGGACCCTGAGCTTATGATGTGGGCTGGGCTGCAGGTCCGGGTGGGGGACCAGGAGGCTGGGCCGTGGGCCTTGGAGGCTGGAACCTCTGCACACAGCAGGGCCGCCGCTGCCCCGACCCTCACCCCCTCATCCAACTCCCCCCACCAGCTGCACCCGCCCTTTATGCCATTCCTAGGAAAGGCATAAAGGCTTCTCCTAGCAAGGCTGAGGCACTGAGTGCCTCTGAACGGGAGCTCGAGTTCCCCCTCCTCTGGGACAGAGCTCACGCTGCCCACACGCTGCTGGCCAGGGCACCACACCGGGCTGTGGCCGGTCTGGTTTTAGAGATGGGGATAGTGAGGATTAGGGCTGCATCCCAGGCCCTGCCAGCTCAGGGTGCGCAGAGCAGGTGGCGTCCCTGCCTGTCATCCTCTGCGGTAGCCCCTGGCTGTGGCCACGCTCTCAGCCCGTGTGCCCATCTGCGAGATGGAAGTTCTTGCTCCGCATCGCACACCTCGCCAAGCCCCAGCGGCCATGGGGTGGACTTATCCTGGGAAGCAACCCCGGAGACCTGAGAGATGGCGTCAGAGCCCGGATGTGGCCGCTGTCAATGCCGGAAGGGCCGGAGCCCTCTTCTGTCTTTCTCCCATGCAAAGGCCGTCCCTCCAAAAACGCGGGTGCTGCCCTTGCTGTCTCTGTGTCCTTGCTGGGGCTCAGCGTGCTCCCCAGCCCCGCGCGCACCTGGGGAGCCGAGCGGGGCCAGGTGGGTCAGCGGTGCAGAGGCGAGGCCCGGAGGTAATCCAGGGAAGCCGTGGTGAGCTGAGGGCACCAAGCGTGCGCGTCTGCGGTCACCTGAGCAGGCCCGCGCCGTCCCAGGCCCCGCCGAGACCGCCAGCCCAGGTGTCCGGATTAACTGCGAAGGAGATGCTAATGAGACGGCCACTTTCCACAACACAGGGCGTGCCTTAAAGCGAAACAAGATTAGCTGTGCTTTCTGGCTCAGGCCCTGATACCCAGGGCCTCACTGGCCTCAAAGGACCTTCTTGGAAGCAGCTCCAGGCTGCGGGGCGCCTGGGGGCCCATCCAGTTGGAACTGAGGCCCAGGCACAGAGACAGCCCACACCGTCTCTCGGAAGCTCTGAATTGGCTTGGAAAACAGACCTGGAGATATTTTATTACTCTGCCTGTTGCCGCCCCAGCCGGCCGGTGGTCCCCCCGGATTTGAGGTGAAGCCCTGTGTCTCAGCCTAGCCTGTCCTGACCCCTGCCCCTGCAGCTGGGGTTGCTGGGGCCCCCAGGGAGCCTGCTCTCCGGGGAGCCAACCTGGCTAGCGGTGGCAGGCCATGCTGCAGGCACCAAGGCCCTGGCCCTAAGGCCCTGGCCCTAGCGGTCTTCCTGGGGCTTTGCACTGCTGGTCTGGGGTTGTGAATCGGGGTCCGAACTTGGAGAAGCCCCCGCCCCTGTTGACATGGGCGTCCCCTGGCTCAGCCATGGGCCACTGACACCACGGAGCCCTGCACATCCATACGGCCACCTGGACACATCACAGAGGTTGTGCCCAGCGGAGGAGGCGCCAGACTGTGTGGTCCCCCTTCCTGTGACACCAGAACAGGAGAATGGGACAGGCACGGGCCGCGTGTGGGGGTTTTCAGAGAGACGAGGACGTTCTCTGTCTTGATTTGGCCGTGGCCACATGACTGAAACCTGGGTTGAGTCCCTGGCTCCTGCTTTAGCCTGGCCCAGCCCTGGCTGTTGTGGACTTTTGAGGAGTGAACCAGTGGATGGAAGATCTCTGTCTCTCTCTCTACCTCTCAAACAAATTTTTAAAGGTCTCTCCTTCTGACATTTTTTTCAGAAAATATTTTTTTCAGAAAAAAATAAAGTTGGCTGACAGTGGTGCTGCTAGTGTGATGATGGAAGTGATGGTGATGGTGGCGGCGGCTATGGTGGTGGTGGTGATGATGATGGTGGTGGTGGTGATGATGGTGTTGATGGGAGCTGTGGTGGTGGTGACGATGGTGATGATGGTGGTGGTGGTGATGATGGTGGTGGTGGTGATGATGGTGTTGATGGGGGCTGTGGCGGTGGTGACGATGGTGATGATGGTGGTGGTGGTGGTGATGATGGTGTTGATGGGGGCAGTGGTGGTGGTGATGATGGTGGTGGTGGTGGTGATGATGGTTATGGTCGTGGTGGTGGTGATGATGTCATGATGATGATGGTGGTGAGGAGTGATGGTGCCATCATCAATGGCGATAGTGATAAACTTATCTTGCCACTGTGTCCAGCCTGGGACTCCCCTTAAAGACCTGATCAGAAAGCTGAGCCCCCGCTGCTTAGCGAGGACCTCGCGTATCCAGACAACCACTCCACTGCTCACCAAATACTCTCAGCTCTCCTCCCCCAGCCAGGCTGAAGTCCGTGTCAATATTGACCCAAGAGCTGTATTTGGCTAAGGGCTAGAGAGTCACTCCTAGGAGTTTAGTGCAGGTGGGTCTTGTTTAACCTGAAATTAAAAAAAAGTCTGAAAGTGCTGTGGATTAGTGAGTGTGGTAGCAAGGCCTCATTTTAAAATGAATATCCTGTTAGAGGAGTTAGAGAGGCAAAGAGAGAGAGAGAGAGAGAGAGAGAGAGAGAGGTCTTCCATTCACTGGTTCACTCCCCAATTGGCTGCAACAGCCGGAGCTGCACTGATCCGAAGCCAGGAGCCAGGACCTTCTTCTGGGTCTCCCACACAGGTGCAGGGGCCCAAGCACTTGGGCCATCTTCTACTGCTTTCCCAGGCCATAGCAGAGAGCTGGATTGGAAGTGGAGCAGCCAGGACTCGAACTGGCACCCATATGTGATGCAGGCACTGCAGGCAGCAGCTTTACCCGCTACACCACAGTGCCAGTACCCCCGTTAGACTTTTGATAAAGCAGTTAGTTACCTCTCCTTAGCCTCAGAGCTACGTCAAAACGTCTGTGAGAAAACAAAAATTAAAATGTACATTTATTTTGGTGCAGAAACTTTTTGAAATCAATGCATTTTTTTTTCACAGTACACATTTCCCATAAACTCTGTGAAGTTGTTAAATAAATCTTTTTTTTTTTTTTTTTTTGGACAGGTAGATTTATAGACAGTGAGAGAGAGACACACAGAGAAAGGTCCTCTTTCTGTTGGTTCACTCCCCAAATGGCTTCTAAGGCTGGCGCTGCGCCGATCCAAAGCCAGGAGCCAGGTGCTTCTCCTGGTCTCCCATGCCGGGGCAGGGGCCCAAGCACTTGGGCCACCCTCCACTGCACTCCCGGACCACAACAGAGAGCTGGACTGGAAGAGGAGCAACCGGGACTAGAAGCAGCGCCCATATGGGATGCTGGCGCTGCAGGTGGAGGATTAACCAAGTGAGCCACAGCACCGGCCCCTAAATAATCTTAGAAATGCACATCTGATGAGCTTAAGAGGGGGCTGTGGCCAAGTGGCACACGCCACCGCCTGCGTCTTGTCTGGACCACTCAGCAGCTGTGGAATGTGCCGACTGGCGGGATCCCTGCTTGCCTGCTGGGGTGGGCACAGGGCCGGGACTCAGGTCCTGGGCTTGTACCCTGTTGCAGAGAGCCAGAGGCCACCATGCAGGTCCTGGCAGCCCAGCCATCCCCCTCCTGGGGGCGTGGGTCCCTGAGTGCTCCCCTGCCTGCCCTTCCTGTCTGGGTCTTCCCAGGAGGGGGCAGGTTGCATGCGAGGCCAAGATTCCAGCCAAGTCAAAGGCATGGGACCATCTTCCAACGCTGCCTGGAGGGCCAGGTGTTGGGAAGGAGCCCCCCTCCCGGCACAGCAGGCTCGGGAAGCAAGTGAGTCATGGTCGGCCGCAGTGCTGGGAAGTGGCGGAGCTGTGGTCCCTTCCCAACCCGCTCCAGGGCCAGTGCACGCCCAGGCCAAGTCTTTGGTCCTGGAGCCTCAGGAGCTGAGTGGCCCCGGGCTTTCCCTCCTCCTCTTCCTCCCCAGCAGATAAACACCAGGGGCAGAAGAGGTGGCCGAAAGGTACTGACTAATGGGCAGATGAGCCTGCCTGGGGCCAGCACCAGGAGAGGCCACTGCTGGCGGTGGCCCGCGCGAGGAGCAGGTGCAGCGGCTGCGGCTCAGCCCTCCGCGATGAGGTGGCCTTTGCCATCACTGCAGCGAGGTCACTCCACAGCGGATGGGGACTGGGGACCTGCAAGGGTGGGGTCAGCAGAGCAAGAGGAAGCCAAGGAGCCTGGGCTGTGGAGGGAGCAGGTGGGCAGGTCCCCTCCCTTCCTTTCCAGGGTCACCCCGCCCTACATTTGGGATGTGACCATCTTTCTAAGCAGAGGCCCAGAGACCCTCTAACAGATATGAGGGGTCATTTTCCAGCCCCAAAAGCCCCAAGCCTTGTGGCCCTTGGCTCTCCCTGGTGGGAGACGCAGATGGACTTCCTGGCTCCTGGCTTTGGCCCAGCCCTGTCCCCCTGTTGCAGGCATTTGGGGAGTGAACTGAATGAAAAACGTTGTTTTAAGAGCTGTGAATGTGTCTGTCACCTCCAGAAGCTTCCTTGTGCCCCCCGGATGCCCACCCTGATCTGCATTTTGCCACCAGACATTGGTCTGGTTTTGATGCCCCAGGCTCACACACTATGAGTACCTTTTGGCCCAGCCGATTCCACCCTGGGTGGCTGGGAGTGACCAAGCGATGCCACGCGTGTGTGTCAGTTTCCTGGTTGTTGGCTGGTGAGTGTGCCACTGTGCGCAGGCCCCACCGTTGGTTTTCTGGGTCACCTGTTGCTGGACATGTGGGTTATTGCTACCAGGACTGAGGTCGCTGCGTAGAGCCACTTTCTGGCTTTGCACGGGCGGCTGCTCTCATTTCCCGTGGACGAAAGCCAGGAGCAAGATGGCTGGGCCACACGGTAGCTGTCTGTGTGTCTGCTTGAGAATTGGCCAGATGTCACTTGGCGGTGATGGTGGTGACTGCTCCCCCTGCGACCTCGCTGGCAGCGAAGGAGAGTCCTGGCTGCTCCACTTCTCTCCACCCTTTGGTGTGGTCAGGGTTTGTTTGCAGCCATTCCCATGAGTGCAAATTTATCCTTGTCTTATTGGGCTGTAAGAGTTATTTATATATTCCAGTTACAAGCCCCTTATCAGGCAAATGATTTACAAATATTTTCTCCCATGCCGTGGGTCCTTTTTGTGTTTTCCATGATACTATCCTTGGAAACCCAAGAAATGAAACTTCGTGATGAGATCCAGTTTATTATATGCTTCTTTCTTCTGTTGCTTGTGCTGTTGTTGGTGTCGTATCTGAGCAACCATGGCCAAATCCAAGGACATCTGCACCTGTGTTGTCTTCTAATAGTTTCGTAGTTCTAGGTCTTGAGTTCATTTTTCTACGTGGTGTGAGGTAGGGATCTGTCCTGATTCTTTTTGCATGGGGATGTCCAGCTGTCCCGACATCTATGTCTCATTCTTCCTTCATCTTGGCAGCCCTGCTGAAAAAGGAATTGACAGGTGAATCAGGATTTCGGGTTCTTCCTGACGCCACACTTGCGCTGGCTACTGTTGTGTTGTAGCGAGTTTGAAATCAGGAAGTGTGCGTTCTCTTAATGTTATCCTTTATCGAGATGATTTTAGCTACTTGGGGTCCCCTGCACATCCACTAGGCAGCAGGGTCAGCCTCTCAGTGTTGGCAGTGGAGCCAGCTGAGATTCTGGCCCTGACTGCATCGAATCCCTGGATTAGTGCTATCTTCCACACTCCCCACATGGCTACAACGGCTGGAGCTGGGCCGATCCGAAGACAGAATCCCAGAGCTTCTTCCGGGTCTCCCATGCAGGTGCAGAGGCCTAAGGACTTGGGCCATCCTCCACTGCTTTCCCAGACACATCAGCAGGGAGCTGGGAGTAGCTAGGAATCTAACCAGTGCCCATAGGGGATGCCAGCGCTGCAGGCAGAGGCTTTACCCACTACGCCATCAATTTTTGTATATTAACCTTGTGTCTTGTAACCTTGCCAGGTTCAGTTATTAGTTCTAACAGTTTCTTAGTGCATTCCCTAGGTTTTTTTTTTTTTAAGATTTATTTATTTATTTGAAAGTCAGAGTTACACAGAGAGAGTGGCAGAGGCAGAGAGAGAGGCAGAGAGAGAGACAGAGAGAGAGAGAGAGAGAGGTCTTCCATCCACTGGTTTACTCCCAGTTGGCCGCAACAGCTGGAGCTGCGCTGATCTGAAGCCAGGAGCCAGGAGCTTCTTTGGGGTCTCCCATGTGGGTGCAGGGGCCCAAGGACTTGGGCCATCTTCTACTGCTTTTCCAGGCCACAGCAGAGAGCTGGATCAGAAGTGGAGCAGCCGGGACTCGAACCAGTGTCCATAAAGGTTGCCGGCGCTGCAAATGGCAGCTTTACCCCCTGCGCCACAGTGCCGGCCCCTCCCTAGGGTTTAACAGAGTTAGTTTTATTGCTTGTTTTTGAATCTAGATGCCTTTACAAGAGTAATTCAGAAAAATTTGCAGCAAAATTAAATTAAAAGATAAATTGTCTTGCTGTAAAATATTTTGAAGGGCAGGTGTTGTGACACAGCAGGTCAAGCCACTGATTGGGACACCCACGTCCATGTTGGAGTCCCAGTTCAAGTCCCGGCCACCTCCGCTTCTGATCTAGCGACCTGCTAATGCACGCTGGGAGGCAGCAGGTGATGGCTCAAGTGTCTGGGCCCCGCCCACCCATGCGGGAGACCCAGATGGAGTTCCAGGTGCTGGCTTCAGCCTAGCC